AAGTACATGCACTGTATTTGCTCTATTAGAAGCACATCTCCAATAGAAGTACATGAGCTGTATTTGCTCTATTAGAAGTACATTTCCAATAGAAGTACATGTACTGTATTTGCTCTATTAGAAGCACATCTCCAATAGAAATACATGTACTGTATTTGCTCTATTAGAAGCACATCTCCAATAGAAATACATGTACTGTATTTGCTCTATTAGAAGCACATCTCCAATAGAAGTACATGTACTGTATTTGCTCTATTAGAAGTACATTTCCAATCGAAGTACATATACTGTATTTGCTCTATTAGAAGCATGTTTTCAAAAGAAGTGCGTGTAAACCATTAATTGTATATTGGATCATTCAAGTATTTACTTTATTTTGGCCAGAGTCACATCGCTGTCATTTAGGTAAGCATACACGCTATTAATGAAGCAAATACAGAACATGTACAAGTCCTATGAGGTTATGTAGAGTGTGATGACCTCTGACTGTATTTGCTTTATTTAACCATCTACATTGTACCTGTCATTTTAAAACAGGAACTTTCTATTTCTGGATAGAACCCAGCTTCTAATACAGCATATACATGTATGATATTGCATGTGTAAATAAATATTCCTAATGGATGAACACAAATGTGGACAGGACACCACTATTACCTTTAACCTCTGCATGGCCTCCTGGCACATTTTGTCGCCTCTGGCTTGAGGCACGCTCTCAATGCCTATCAACTTTGCTCGGAACAGCATTCCATCTCCTTTAAACTTCTGTTGCTTAACATACTCCTTTTGCTCTGATACAGAAACAAAGCTAATCTTTTAGATGAATCAAGTCAGGGTATTGTGTGTTAGTCAACATTTCCACTAAATCTTTAAAATTTGTTCATCGAGCAAAAAAAAAAAACAACAAGAAAACTATGGTAACTAGCTAAGGCTCAAGTTTGGCATTGTCACAAATGTGTATACATTGGACTTCTGTAACATACACTTTATACAAAAATACGGTTTCCTGACATTTAATTCACCATTATGCGTCATCATGTTTTTAAATGATAACTTTGAGTAAATTGGTCTTAGCCATTGGTAGTAAATTGACATAATACTGTTGCACTCAATTCTTAGTTATTCACAATTGACGACTGACATAGGGCTAGTGGTTGGCTATCGTTGTCTACATACACTGGTAATTCTTTTAAATTCCATTGTTTCAAGACCTAAAGATTAATCTAGATCAATCCATTTGTCCAGTATCTCAAGCCAGGTTCAAATGCATTTTGTTCAGACATGGGGAGAGAATTTGAAATTTCATTTCAAATCTTATTATGTAAAGACATATTAATAATAATGAAACGAATATCTAGATAGGCTCTGGGCTTCAATTAACCCTTCACCAGATACTAAAAATCTTAAATCTGACTACGATAAATTGTGTCATTTTGCCAAGCTAAGCTAAATACATGTATATCTACAAGTAATTTCAAACTAAGAATTATTCTGAAAAAATGGTGATCATTCAAAATCAAGTCATCAAAAAACAAATGTTGACACATGTTACTTAATATAAATTAAATGTTATAGTAGTCCATTTCAATACATTTCGTAATTTTTTAGTTCACCCCATTATTGGCTACATGTATAAGCCAAGTTCAAAATTCGCAAGGAAAAACAACATTAGTATTAGCCAGTTTGGCTAAAACTATTTTATCTTTAGTGAACACCAAAACATTCTATGACACAAATGAGGTTTGCATCAATAACTTCTGTAATGTCACAATAAATGGCTTATCTCTGATATCTCACACATTCAATGGCACAAATAAAAATTTAGTGTTCGTGAATTGCCTTGATCTAAGAAATTGCGATTTCTATACACTATTAAAAGCAATTTTATGCTTGAAAATGAAGAACCTCACTAAAGTACCAGCCCTGCATTGTCATGATGCATTGTAATACTCCCATGGTGCATCTGATTACTGAGCTCTCAGCTTTGATTGAATGATTACACTTAAGGAAGAAGCCTAGTCATAATTTTAACAAAATTGGTCATAAATCGCATGATAATCTTCATTAGTTTATTATGTATAATCATGAAGCTAATGTCCCATGGTACAATTAAATAGCACTTATTTTGTGTGTTACAGTAAAGCTTTTTGAAAAACGTGTCCTAATAATTCTTGAAAATTTTTATTTTTAGAACAATTCATACAACACAATGTTAAGAAAAATTGCATTTTTTGCCACTTTTTAAAACCCAGATTTTTTAAATAATTCAGAACAACAAAAAGTACTCCATCATTAACAATATATGATTTTTTCAGCCTTTGTCACTAGGCTAGATTTTGAGATATTGCATAATATCTCTGCCATAGAAACCTATGGTAAAAGCGTCAAAAAGGCAACCCCTCCATTATTTCTCGAAAAAAAGGCTGGTGACCCCTAACTTGTTTTAGGTCAATATAAATTCTGGGTATTTTAATTTATGAATAGGCTTCTACCTTAACAGTCCAACATTTACAGCACAGTGAGGTGCACCATGGTAGTGCAACCATACTTTTTTGATACATGTAGCGCCAATCAATCATCAATTAAAATCTGACGTAGATGTAATCCCCAATACTTTTTTTTTTACTTTTTATGAGAGACAATACATAAAAAATCTAATAACAGCAGGTGAAACCAAAAAATATTTATATATAAACAAAAATAACAATAAAAAATATATAAAAAATATACCTGCATTTTCTTCAATTATATTTTAGAGATAACTACATAAGCTAAGACCAATGCAATATTACATTGTAAAAATAAAAATTTTAAAATGAAACTGAAAAAACACAACACTGGTAAATAAATCAAAATTTATATGTAAATTCCACTGAAAATCCACATAAATAACATAGAACCACTACATCATAAGACTCTAGCTATGTCATTACACAATGGATTCAATTGGAGTTATTTTATGTTGACACAAATATATGTACATGAACAACACATTGGCAGCCATATTACCAATGACATACCAAATACACATAGGACTAGGTTAGGCCATATGGTTGTTCTTGTGTTGATGCATACATACATGTATTTATAGACAACAGTCTGTGCAGACATTGTTGGATTGTCGGTAGTAGAACCAAACCCAATACAGACACTGTAGATTTCATAGTGCTTACCTGGAGTGAGTGCAAGTAAATTAGCTGGATTAGCATGCAAAGAAAAAAATTAGTATTATTAGGACGCGGATTACACAGCAGAGTACAGGTTATGTGTCACCATGTTTACATACAACACTGGAAGTAAGCGACAAATTACATATAATAAGATCCATGATATTAATGTGCAATACCATGTTCTGTAGAGTAAGGGAAAGAATCTAGGGAAAGTATCATCCTTACAGGATAGTATATCACATGACAGAGCTATAACTACGACCACAGGTAGCGATCAAACACAAATGCAGCACATTAGGGTGATAATTTGCTAGTCAGTTAGCAATGTTGCTTTTAGACTAACTCCTATTGCCTGCTTTTAAAATTAAAGCATCACTACCACCACCACCACTGAAATCTTCCCATCAACAGAGTCGCGCATATTTCAAGGTATAAACCACTATGACTATTTGAAAATTGTATGCTATACATGTGTTTGTGTCCACATGTATGAAATATGTCCCCTGTCTTTATTTTTGCTATACGCTAAACACATGTTGTTGCAAAGTTTCATATCAAGATAGGTAAAATATATCTCAAGAAGACTGGGACAGAATCATTTCACCGTTTTTAGCTGGCCATTGTATGAAAAAGATATCAGTTTTAGTCATAATTGCAAAGCCCACTATCTGGTATATAATTACATGTTATCGACACACTGGTTTATTGTGTTCCTACACAAGCTTGTTGGCACAACAATCATTATTCTACATGCTTGCCTTAAAAGCAACATTGATAACTGACAAGCAAATTTGTACCCTAATGTGCTGCATTGAGCGTTTCATGCGGGAATATTGAGCAAATCAAATTTGGAAGTGCTTAGTGAAAAAAGCCAGGCAAACACGCCACAACAGACGAGATCACTAAGATTCTCTACAAATAGTATACAGACATAATGTACAATCATACAAATACTTTTGGAATGCTTTTGACAGTAATCATTTTTAACAAGAGGTTTTGTGTGATTTTAAAGTTTTGGTGAAAAATAACAAAAATATTCACTAAAATAAAAAATAAATATAGTTAATGTCAACAAATGAACAAACCTGAGCAAAACTCCTCCCTCCTCGACATTACGGAGCATTTCGATAAACGCCATAACAACTGATTTTGGTTTACGGCTCATTTTAGTACATATGTTAAAAGCCTAAACTTAGCAATTTGTATAATAAGAGAAACACAAACAGTTCTGTGAAATGAATGCTATCACAATGCGTTAGCCACATACAAACACTGCATATACAGGGAACACAAACAGGAAGTATAAACAAGTTGTAAGAATTTTACTCAAATGATTTTCCCAGAAAGGAGAAAACAATATTGCTATATAGGACAAGCAACTGAACATTATACATGTATTTTCTCTGTTAAAAGTGCTCTTTAATATTCAGTGCTTGTAAGTCAAGAATGCAATGTCATTTGATAGGATAAATGTTTTAAAGTGGCACTGTTGTCGTAACCACACTTGTGCACATTCTACTGTTCTGTCAATGCCATGTCAATGCTCTGATTACCTACATTGTTATGTTTTTACCTACACACCATAAGCAGTTCAAACCGGTCATAACTACATCATGAAAAAAACATCCAAATATACAGAGAAACATGACAAGCATTTTGACAAGTGTTAGAATTTACATACTTGCATATGAATGCACAAAGGCTTCAATTAGCAGATCTCCAAAATCTGGCCACTATCAATATCTAAACATTCCTTCAGTGTGTGCACATGTACAGTTCTAACAACAGTGTCTATTTAATCACCATAGTGATTGCGTAGCGTGTGTTATAATTATATCTTACCTTTCTTTGACTTTTTGGTTGCCATTTTCTTTGGTATATTGTCATCTGCAGTTGACATAATCTTGTGCTCTAACTCTTTTATATTCAACATCCAGTTTTTATTTCAACTGGGGAATTGCCCTGTAATGATAACAATAACAATCACTGCTTTACGTCATACATGTACGGCAAGGGTCCATGTGAATACACAGTGTATGATCTATTCACTGCTCAAGTAGGGAGTCACAACTTGTTAACGTTGTGAAGAAATTGTTGCCCCCCCCTCCATTAGATGGACCTAGTCTAGAAGTTGTTCTGTTGAGTCTATGTACCATGTGTACTCTTTCCATGTTTCAGTCAACCTTTCTCTTCAAGCAAACAACCACTGACCTAAGCCTAAATTTACAAAATACTGATTCAACAACTCCTAGATGTATAGTTTAAATTTGACACCTCCATGAATAATTATATTAAGAAAGAATTATGGAATGCACACTAAATCTTGTCATGTTCTCTAATTAAAGTTTGAAATTTGATTTGGCTGACGGCAGAGTGAATAATTGAACCCAAGTCATGAACTAATAAAACTAATTTATTAAGATGTAAAAGCATGTTATCATTATCTTTTGATCTCTGCTACTCAGTAAATTGCAACACCACGATTAAAACCACGCATTTGTTACACTAAAAGTAAAATTTATTCTTTCAATACTACCGGGGTACTAAGGGACAACATCAAAAGTTCAATGTACATGTAGTATAGAAAACTTAATTCCTTTAGTCCCCTCCCCCCACTGAAACTTAATTGATAAATATTGATCATGGCGTCAGACTACATTCACCATTAAATACAAATTGATAATCGGACAGTATTATGGCATAGCAGTTGGTTCTAGGTCCATTGACCTCATTTGACGCACATATTTACACTCGGACCAAACCATTTTTTCGTCTTGCATGTGTTTTTTTCTTTTATTTTCTGTTATTTTTGTCCATGATTGGATAGAAAAAATGAATTACAAATACTCCAAGATTTTTTTGACTTCATTAAAAAATAAAATTGTTTTTGTAGGATGGAAATATTTTGAGGTCAAACACCCCCCCCCCCAAACTAAAGCAAATAAGTTTTTTATCCGAGATCAAACTTTTGACGTCGTCCCTAATATTTCACAAATTATAATCACAGAATCAGCTCACTCCAACTTTGATGAAAACAGGAAAACATTTTGTTATATAGGAGAGCTGATATGCAAATTAAAACTCGCAATGCATGATGGGATGGTCACAGAGACTTTCTATGGAGACGTGTGACATTTGGATGTCCGATTACAGCAGACGTCATCAATACATGCATAACATCCTGTTGCAAATTCCAGACATCGTTGCAACTTATAAATAAAACATGCATGGCAGATACACTAGACAGTCAAATTGGATTATATACAAGTATTGTTGGTGACGTGTTGGTGTTCATATTAATAAGTAATAATCATAAAACAGGAGTAAAGCAGTAATATAAATTTCAATCTTGGATATAGCAGTACAAATGTATTGCATAAATTAAAAAGCCAAAATGACATTTGATGAAGAATATGAAAAAACATGGTTAAAAAAAACATGACTTATTGTGTTACTGCAGAACTTGGACAGACACACGCACAGAACACAAATTAATAAGACCTGTTTTTGAACTTCGCCATATTTCAATCCAAAACTAATCAGGTCTTTAGCATTGTCCCCAGGCACTTGTGTGCCAAGTCTTATAGAAATGCAATAATTGGTTTTTAAGATAAAATTTGTTAATTATTATGCAAATTAGATAATAAATATGCACAGATTTTTACCCGAAACTAATCAGGTCTGCGTAACATTCTAAGGTACCTTATGTGCTACATTTCATTGTCAGACCAGCTGTTTTTGAAATAATGGTGGAACAAACGGACATACATACACACACAGACAGGTTAACAACAAAGACTCCCACTCAAAATGTTCGCCAGTATGTGAAGTCAAACTATGTAATATGCATTTTTGATCTGTAATGTATTCTGTTGCACTATGGAGAAACTAGAAA